GAAGAATATTTTCGGAAGGCTATTTATATTCCTTTATTAGATAATATTTTAACAGATTTAAAGGACAGACTTTCCCCAGATGTGATGAAACTTTTTAATCTACGAGTTTTTTTACCTCGTCAAACTGTTACAGAAGAAGATCTTATAGTCGTTTGTGAAACTGCTGAGTTTTATAAGAATCTCTTAAATGCTTCCGTAAAAGTTGTCGAAACAGAATTTCATCTTTGGGTGGCAAAATGGCAGCGTGAAACAGAAGCAGGACCTGAAGTGCCCAACGATCTTTCCAAGATTATTAATGCCTGTGACATCGATTTGCGTACCCATCAATCAATATGTTGTTGATAATTTTAATAACTCTGCCAGTTAGTGCAGCAACACCAGAACGTTCCTTTTCAACTCTTCGACGTCTCAATACTTGGCTTTGAGCAACTCAAAATCAAGAACGATTAAATGGACTCGCCTTATTAAATATTCATCGAGAAATTGATTTGGATGTTGAAAAAATCATTGACAGATTTGTCGAAGTTTCTAAAAAACGCATTACATTTATTATTTAAAGATTTTGAATACTTGAATTATTTATTCTTTAACTAGCTTTAAAAACCAGTTTTTTTTTTAATTTTTTTACACAAAAAATTACTTGTGGGGGGGGTATCCGTGTCTATGACCCTCCTCAGGAAAAATTTCTGGATTCGTCCCTGGTTTCAGTACATATGCATTTACGTTATCATATTAATAGTCTTTTGAGATTATAAAATAGAACTGGGCTAAGCATTCGCCGCAACGCCAAATGCGATGAAATCGTAAATTAGATGAAACAAATGGTGTTTTAGCGAAAGTATTGGTGAATGATTTTTGGTATGGAAAGAAAAAATATAAATTCCCTTCAATCCTTAAAAAATAAAAGGGAGTTTTTTTGAACAAATCCTAAATTTTTTATTCGATTACGGAATAACTTTCGTTAGATACATCACATAACCAATTAGAATTATAAGTCCAAATAATGTAAGCAACAAGAGAAATTAAGCAAGACCAAGCACGTTTGTTGCCGGATCACGCGATATCACAAGACGAAATTTTTTCCTGCAATTTCTGTCAATAAAATGAAACTTAGTGGTAGCCCTCAAATATGCATATTATCATCCAACTATTCTGACAGAAAATGTGTTTTTCTCGTGACAATAACAAATACAATAATGTGACAAAAACACAATATTGCCTAAGGTTTACCCTTATATTACTGCTCTAGTCTATGGAGTTACCAAAAATTAACCCCCAACGTATTCCTATTTCTCAAAAACAATAAAGTAACATTTACATTTTTTATTCTCACTTCCATTCATTGCTCCTTTAATCCCATCAAACTGCTAAACGATTCTGGATTTGAATTTTTGTAAAAATAATTTAATTTATCGTAAATTTGCATTTTGATTTAAAGTTTTCTTTGTGAAAAAATCAATTATAAAAATTTTTTAAGAATTTTGAAATTCGGCTAATACTTTTGATATTTAGCTAATAATTTGAAATCTTTAGCTCGGGCTCTACCTCTCATTAGCGATTTTGATATACAGCTGACTTGATATACTAGATAAAATTTTGTCAAGTTTTTAACTCCTAAAAAAATTTTAATAATAGAGGTAGATAAAGTTGCCTCCCCCGACAATAATGTATTACATATGTAAATGGTACAGTGCAAAAAAATTTATATATATATCATAAAAGTTATGAAATTTACTGTCTTTTAACAAGAGTTATCACCTTAAAATGCAATGTTTCTTCAACAAATTTAAGGAAGAAAAAACATGTATTTTCGAATAAAAAAATATAGAGTAGTGTCTCTATAACTCAAAAATCATAATAGTGTGGGTTAACATACAAATAAAAAGTTGAGCTCAACTTTGAAAAGCGTAATTTTGTGGGAGTTGCAAATATCCACACAAAAAATTTCAGATTTTTGTGTAGATATTTGCAGGTATTTTTTTAAACAAATATTATATACACTGAGGAATTTCAAATATTTAGAAGAAATTATTTTTAAACCATTGTAATTGAAACCTAAAATGAAGAAAATTTGCCAATAATTAAAACTCATACCTCTTGTTTTAATTTATTAATTTTTTACAACCATGTCACGTAGCTGTTCTATTGTTTTTCTGATAATTTATCATTTAAAAAAAAAAAGCCCCAACTGCAAAATTCTGAAAAAGCAATGAAACACTGTCCTTAAAATTTGGAATTCAATAAACCAAGATTTATTTCAAACGTTTTGTTGCTCAAAAATATAAACTAAATTCTTTCAAACACGTGAAGAAACTTTTTTAATAAGCCAGATTTTAACAAGATCATGTTGGTTAGCCGTTTTATTGGCTCGTAATTTACAAATATGTGATAAAAAATAGAATAATTTCACTATCAAACAAAATCTTTACCTGTCACACAAATATACCACAATAATATGTTTGATTTCTTTTTACAAGATATTATCAAACAAGATATTCAGTTTGTCCCAATATTTATATATTATAGTATTTAATTTCTGAATCTGAACTGAGATGGCTCAATTAACTTAGAACTCAAAACTAGTCAGCTGTTGGCACCTATGAATTAAATTTCATATTAATTGAATTGGGAGCAAAACTTTTTCAATTTAAAGTGTAACAACCAATAAAGAGAAAAATTCTTTTAAAACCATTTCCTTACCTTGTGATGTTTCAACAAATCTATCCATTTTTCTTATGAAAAACCACGAAAATTATTAACAGTGTAGGTTGCTAACATTACTAGATCTGCCAAAGAAACACAATTTATCCAAACAGGGAGATAAATATTCTTTATTTTACAAAAACAAATATCATACAACAGCTAATTATATGGAATTTCTTTAAAACATTAAGTACCCTACAGTTTACATGTATTTAAAAAGAGATGTGCTTTATCAACATATTTTTAATCAAGCTGGAAGAGCGAACTAAATTTGCTACAATGAACCTTGTACAATCTATTTTAATTAATAGAAAAATATTATAAAGTTTTTGGTTATCTCACAAATTATAATAAAATCATAATTTAAACTCTGTTTTTACCCTTGTAAGGTTCACCAAACATAATAGGACCTAATAGCACAACATGCATAAAATCAATGAGTTCTTAACTGATAATCGCCGTTTTGAGTAATGTATCTAACCCAAGGCAGAGCTTGATAACCACTTTTTTCAATAATTTTAAGATAGCGAACTTGAATACCAGAGGTGGTAAAATATGGAATTTCAAATTTAACTTGTATCGGTGGTTTTCCTTCAGACTCTTCGCTTTCAACACTGGGAAGGCCAAAATGAGCTCTCATCAGATATTCTTTACCACCAGGGAAAGATTTCACACTCCAGATTATGGCACTCGATTCAGGGGCATATTTTACATTGCCAACAGTGGTTTTAAACTTAGGTGAGTCTGCATCAGTTGGTACTGGAATGATTATTTCAACATTATTTGCAGTGGAACGTCGTTTAAACTGGCTTTTTGCTTTTACCATATATTCCACACGACTATGAGCATGGCGCTCAATCACTGACTCGATCCATATCAATGGCTTAACATGAGTATTTAACCGGTAAGACATCAATTCAAATTCGCCATCAGGAGGAATGAAGGAAATAGTGCGATCATTTTCAAACCTGGACAGCCGCACACACTGGTGGAATTTCACATCCTCCAATTCAACAGATTTGCTCTTACCACGACCAGTACTTTCAAATAGAACTTTGTCGTTCAGTCCCAGACGCAACTCAGGCATACCAGAGAGATAAACTCGCATTTTGATGCAGCCAACAATTTCACTTCGTAAAACATTCCCATTAGCATTCGCCAAAAGGTTGACAGACTCTATGACATCCAAGAAGACTTCATTCTTGCGGTACTTAATGCCTTCTGACCTCCAAGATACTGCATTGGTAACAGCCATAGGTGGGCGAGGTTGGGCCTCCATTTTGTGACTCTCTTGGGTTATAAATTCTTGCAAAATCTTACTATCTGTAGTTTGTGGATAGCCAAAATCCATAAGTTCATCTAATAGCTCATAAATTATAACGAAATTATCTCTAATACTCTCTTCTTCAAGCTCCTTAAAGTATTCGATGAAAACCTGCACAATTTTATGCAGAAATACAAATACCAAAGCAACATTTGCATTTTTCTTAGATGTCGCCACAAGATACAAATTGTTATACTTAATATACATGAAAGTCACACCATTGTGAGTTAATATTGGGGTGATACAACCTTCTTCTTCCTTTTCCATCAGTAAAGGCATAAACTTATCAACAGCTGACATATCTATATCTCCTCGATAGTTTCTAGAAATTAAGACCTTACCCTTAAGGTCGAGCAAATATATAGCAGAGGCAGACATCTTGGTATCTAAAATGAAATATGCAAACTGATTTAAGACAGAGTCTGCTTGAACAACATAATCAATTAAGTAATGGTGAACAGTACGGTAGGCATAAAAGTCAAAGTATTTTAAAACACTTTTAACGGTAGTAAAGAAAAGTTATAAAATACCTTACCATAATTAAGAGGCACACAAAATCTTATAACCCCATATTGATATCTTTTTGATAAGATTTTGCAAACTTCTTAATAATTAGGAGAAAGATTAAACGACTTTTTGACCAACACTAGCCTACAATATCATAAATAAAGTCTAGCAAAAAAATATAAGAAAACGAATGAACAAACAAATTAAACAAAAAAATAACAGTATGTGTAGCTAAATCTTTCAACAAAAAATAAGCACCTTTTAGGTACTTTTTAAGTACTCAAAAAATATTTTTAAGCACTATATACATTAAAAAAATACAAAATAATTTTCAAAGACTTTACATGATCTTGATTAAATAACTAGTTTCTGACAAAGAACTCCTTTCCTGATTATATTAGCTTTATAAAATGATCAAGAGATTTTTCGGTTTGATATCAGAGGGTGGAAAATGAAGCCGGAAATTGAGAATAATCACCGAACCCAACTCAGTAGTAGGTGCGGACTCGCAAGTATTTCATCAGCATGTAAAATGATTAGCACTTTCACACATTACGAAACGACAGTTCGCCGAAACGGATAGTGGTAGAATGAATTGTGAAAATGTTGGATAGAACAATGTAAAAAGCACATTTTTGAATAATATGTGGTGAAAATCGACATGGTAAAGAAAAAAATCTCATTTTAGAAAAGGGAAAAAATCTCACTTTTTAAAAACACCAAATGAAAAAAAGCACCCTTAAAGGCTTATAAGCGTAAAAATCGGAAATAAGCATCTATAAGCACTTTTTAAAAATGCTACGCACCTTGAATAAGAAATCACTGGTAATGGGTAGAGATTATGGATGCTATTGGCTAAAGGACAGTGGGTATATGTCCGTCTCAATAATTAGAATTCTAAGTCCCCCTGAATATTTAAGGCAAAGAAAACTTTCATCATTCATTATCAAATTAAATGCAGCAAAGTTCAAAACAAGAGATAAAAAAATATATTTTTGTACATATTTAGCACATATAAGAAGTTTTATTACTTAAGTTAGAGTACTATTATAACTGTGTATTTTAATTTTGTTTCCTATAAAAACTGAACCCCTGCAACGCCTATAGTAGAGAAACCCACATTACAAGAAATTAAACCTCTTGAGGGTATCTTACCGAAGTTAAGGACGAATTTCCATTTAAAAACTATTCAAAAAATTTTAAACAATTCAATGAACCAACTGAGCATCTTCCACACCTAAGCATTCTTTTATCCGCTGCTTTTCTTGGTAAAAACCGATTCGCCCAAGTTATTTAAGGAGAAAGTTGGGAATTACAAAGAAGCTTCAATACACACTTGTTCCAAATGCTTGGTTGGTTAAACGAAAATCAATAATAAATACTGTATCTCAAAAGAAATAGTTTTTTTCAAAAAAATCTTTCATAAATCTGGAATAGAATGGCAATCTTAAACATAATACAATACTCAAATAATAATCCTATTGAAAAAGAATTTCAATAATCTCTAAAAAATTACTAAATGAGTGTCAAATATACAAAATAGCTCACACATCTCTACTTTTTTAAAAAACAAAGCGATCCACTGATAATACTTTTCAAGCAAAAAAGTCACGAAGAGATTAAGTAATTATAATTCAATTCAAAGTTTTAAGAATCAAGCTGGAAATTATTTGTAAGAGTAATATGCATCATCTATGACTATAAAGAATTTAATCTAATATAAAAATATTAGCTGTGATAAAATCAAATAAAAAAATAAAAAAAATTTCCAAAAAACTTTTTCTTTTGTTTGAAAAAGAGTCAATATTTTAAAATATAAATACAAAGCAAAATATCAAAAACATAAAAGCTAAATTTAGGTAAGATTAAAAAAAAGGAACTTAATAATTGCTTTATTTTTAATAAAATATTTACAGAATTTAAATTAATTTATGAAAAGAAAAATTAAACTTAGCATTTCCCTTATATTTAAAGAAAAAAAAACAATTTTGATTGCTAATATGTGCTACCAATAAAAGAATAAAGTATGCTTAAAATAAATTTAAAGTACCTATGCCTTAAGAAACGATTCGTTTATTGCTATTGATTTCTCCATAGTTTTCAAATCCGATATTTTTTATATGATATTATTTATTCAAACAACCTAATCTCGAAACGAAACAAGCATTTGAGGAGTCGATTCATGTGATTTTGCTGTCAATCTTTTTTTCGGAAATTACTACTACGGATTTCATGATTTTTTATTGTGATGATTATTTACAAAATGCGAAGGATGAAGTAATTTGTGCGTTTCTAGCTATGCTAGAACATCATTCACAATGCTAGAATATCACTCATAATATAAGAATAAAAAATTATTACATGTTCAATTAAAAACAAATTATATAGTTTTTAGTTTGTAAACACTGCACTTTTGTTATTTTAAATTAATTGTTCGTAATTATTAAAAGTATCTTGCAGAAAGATATTAGTGCTAGAGAATTTTGCTGCAGATAGCTCGAAAAAATTCTGCCACAGGGGTGAGGATTAAGTTTTGAAATATACATATAAAATAACATAAAAGGGTAGTTAAAAAAATTTTGAGTATCAAATTCAGTTATTACGTAATATAACACATTTTGATAAATTGTTGCCGTGTTAAGTGAATGCCTTTACAAAACTTAAAGTGCCCGTTTTTATTCCTATGTAGAGCTCTGATACCAGTACAGAAATATACCCTCAAAGAAAAATTGCAAAAATATGTTAAATGGGCCTGACGTGTACCTTACTTCACTACCAGACAGCCTTTCAAAGGAAATTAGTAAAAAGTACAGATTTAAAAGATCTATAATTCTTATTTTTATACAACTTTAGAATAAAAGCAACAATGAGATTTCATAAATGTAAAAAAAAAAAAACAGAACAGGTGAGGGATATAGACATCACAATAGCAATGGTATAGTAATATATTATAACAAGATCAATTTCAGTAATTGCTTTCCTCTAAATCATTGCACAACTTATCTTGCTTGACAATTAAAAAAGTTTCAGATTCAAAAAGTGTATTATTAAACCTAATTCAAACGGTATTAAATGATATACATGAGATGGTTGTATTTAGGTCTTTATAATAATTATTAGAAAAACTTATGGCATACCTTGATGATTTAAAAATCAAATTTCAGTTATTATATCATGAAAGTTCACTTCAATACAATAAACACTATCACAAATAATCAACAATATGTCATTTTAAAATTTCAAAACTAAGTAGCCCATTTCATATGAGCATATCATATCTGAACTTTCCCATCTGCAAGTTTTTAAATAGTGATTTGACTATTTCTGACAAATGGAAAAATTAATAAATAATTATATTCTTTTCTTCAAAACATACAATTTTAAATAATAACAAGAAACATTAAAAATATTAAAACTTTACCAATGAAACGTCTGCCGCAGTTGGAATTTTGAATTCACTTCACATCTATTATCAAACATTTTTTATATATTTAATTTAAATAAGTTGCATAAAACAGAGTTATTCAAATATAAATTGACAAAAAAACTATTTTAAATTCAATGTTTCATTTAAATTTTATTTACAAAAAGAAATTATTTCAATTTTAAATATGAAAAATTATAATCGATTAATCGAAATCTTCAGCTAAATGATGGCTGTCTGGAAGCTTGTTGGTAAACAGCTGTAATAGTAAACAGTGTTTGCTGTCCAAAATTTATTATTAAAATTAAAAGGAGCTTCATCTGTTACTTACACTAGTAAAGAGCAAGAAAAAGTCTTAACGATGTGATAGAAAACTTGTAACTTAACATGAAAGTTAAAGAGCATATATTTATTTCTCTCATAAACTGTCGATTGATTTGTAACTAACCACAAATGTTCACTATCTCTTTAAAAGTTTTCATACAACTTATTTAAAGCTAGAAATGTGCATAGACTTATTTCCAAGCCTTACAAAGGTATGGATACAATGAAATCGTATGCATGTATTGATGTTTATGATCCAAATTGTACAGTTGTCGATACATGTAATAATTTAATTCAAGATGATAATGTAACTCTGACAAATAACCTAAATCATGGAGATTCTATAACCCAGGCTGCATATTTAACTGATTCGAATAACCTTAGTTTATCCAGTAACGAAGCTGTCGCCAATGCTGATTTTATAACTTCTGCGCCTACAGCAAATGAGGTTGATCCTAAACAGCAACACAAGAAAGAAAAGCGAGTAAAATCAAATAAAAGTCAATGGCGTAAAGAGAAGGGAAATAAGTATCTCAACAAGCCTTACCGAAATTACAAAGGTATAGAGATCCAAAGCAAAGAATTTGTTGACTATGATTGCAAATGTCAAATGAAGTGCAAAGAAGTGCTATCGCCAAGCGAGCGTAAGCAGGAATTTCAAAAATTCTGGGAATTAGGATCGTATGAAGCTCAAGCTATATTTTTAATAGCTAGAGTGGATGAGCAAGTCACCAAAAAAAGTACAAAGAAGAAAAAAGACAAGAAAGATGATAAAGAAGAAGTAATTACTCCCGATGAAATTCCAGAATCTTCTACTGACCATAGTTCTAAAAAATGCAAAAGACAATATTCCAGAACTTATATTTTAAAATCAAAACAGGTGTGTCGCAATATGTTTGTCAAGACTTTAGGTATCACATCTAAACGTATCAATACCGCCTTGGTGAAAATGCGCTCTAAAAGCCTTATAGATCACAGAGGGCTTTCACAAGGCGGGAAAAACAAAATAAGTGAAAAAAGGTATGATGAGGTTGTTGATCACATCAAGAAGATGCCCCGGTACAAATGTAGTCACATACAGGGAAAGTTCGACTCTGAGTTCCTTCCTCCTGAACTCAGCTTGTCTAAGATGTACGATCTTTATGTTAAAGAGGTTGATCAACCTGTGAGTTTGTCTATGTATAAAAAAATATATTATGGAAAATTTAATTTCAAAATGAAAGGTATTAAAAAAGAAATATGCAATGTATGTAAAAGTGAAAGGAAAATTAAAAGTGAAAACTTGAAAAAGCAGCAAGCACGTGAAAAACTTCAGATGCATTTTCCAACTCATCCAAATAGTCAGGTTATGATCCAAGAACAATATAGGGCTCATAATTTTATGCCTCCTCCTCCTATTAATTGTAATCAATCATGGCTACCAGCTCCTAATTTTCAAATGTCTCAACATAATCCTACACACTATTTTGAACAACCAATGACATATGAAGCAATACAGTAGTAGTATAATGCATTAATTTTAAAAATTATTTTCTACTTAAGGTCAACTTTTACAAGAAGTCGAATTATTTTTTAATGAAAATTCCTAATTGTGTGCAGTTTTATTTTTTATGTAATTAAAAATCAGGTACTGAATCTATGATTCAAATCACTACTTTGCAATGAATTTTTAATTATCATTTTAACACTGAAAAAATTGTTCCTATCCACAAATCATTTTATTTTAATTATTTCAGTTTTCATCAGTAAATTGATTATTCACCTATGAATTTTAATATTTATTATATTCATTAAATCTATCATGTAAATAATTAAATCTATCTGATAAATCAATTGAATATCCATTGATTTATATGAAAATTATTGATTAATTTTGACATGGATGATTTGAAAATGTATAATTAAATTATTATGAATTGCTGCAGTAAAATTTTAACTTTAATAATCAACTTTCTTTTTAATAGTTATGACTTATTCAGTATAAATGTTTTTCTATGTTCAATATAATACATAAATTCTGTGTTTCGTTCTCCTTTAGCAATAAAAAATATTCATTTTACAATAATAATTGCTAATAAATAGAAAAGCACAATTTAAAAAGAAATTGGCATTAGTTAAAATTATTCTAATGTTAAATAATAGTTCGTTTATAAAAAATGAATTTTAAAAATATTCTTTTTTTTCCTCCAAAATATTCAAAAATTATGTAATTTAAAATTAAAATATGTGATTATATAGGCAAAAAGTTAGATTTGTAAATACCTGAATTTTAAATTAACAATTTTTAACTAGTCATTTCTTTGCAGTACTCTTGATTTTAACATGTAAGAAGGAAAGCAAGGCTGTTGTATTGTTGAGTCATTCACTGTCATTGATTTATGGATCTAATATGGACATATGGTACGATTTGTAATTTTTGAATATTTCCACCAAATACCTTTTTAAATCAGCTCTGAAAACAATTAAGAAAATAAATTTTATTTTGAATATAAACAGGCAACTCAATGTTACTTATTAAGCTAAGTATTGTTGCTATTAGGATCTAATAGCTTGCAACTAAACTACGGAATTTTACAATTAACTACAACTAAACATACAGAATTTTTGAAAAATTTTTTGCCTGTAGCTAACTAAATTTCTAATGCAAATATATATATATCAGGGGTCTGTCTAGGTTTTCTGAGAGGTACCTATTTTGTGAAAATTTAGATATAACTTGTGAAAATAAAACATTATATTTAAAAATCGACACAAAAATATGGATTTATCATTTCTTATGGGTTACAAAAATAAAATTTTAAGAAAAAGTATTTTGTGAAATTCCTAAAGTTGAATTTATGAAGGTACCGCTACATGGTAGTAAATTTGGCCTGTATAGACCCCTGTGTATATATATATCAGGGGTCTGTCTAGGTTTTTCTGAGTGGTACCCATTTTGGGAAAATTTAGACATAATTTCTGAAAAATTAAAAATTATATTGAAAAATCAACACAAAAATATGGATTTATCGTTTCTTAAGGGATACAAAAATAAAATTTTAAGAAAAATTATTTTATCAAACTATCGTTTTTCGTAAAGTTCAATTTGTGAAACTACCGTTTTTCCTGAAGTTGAATTTGTGAAGGTGCCGCTAAACAGTAGTAAATTAGGCCTGGGCAGACCCCTGTATATATATATATATATATATATATANGCTTCATGCCTGTCTTTGTGTTAAATCTCGTCTCTGTATATATATATATATATATATATATATAGTGAATTTTATGACTTTTTTTAGGAGACGATGACTAGCCACAAGAATGAAAAACACTAGTGGTAAATTTATGATTAAGTGTTATGAGTATTTTCTGTTTAGTTCTCATTCCAGGAAATTTTCATACTTAATTTATGGTGTGGTTAATTACAAATGTTATATAGTGAAGAAAATCCTACTAAAAATTACATACATTTTTATTTAATTTTTTTTTTTTCAATAAAAGCATATCATTGGTTCACATTTTTGATTGTCTATTGAACTTATTTCAAAATTGAATTAAGTCCTGAAAAGTCGGAATTGAATTGTACTGTAAGAAAAAAAATCTTTATGAAAATTAAAATTTTAAAGATTTATTTTATTGAAAATAATATAATTATTTGTTCTTTATTTTTAAAACTCATATCCATTGGATGATAAATCCAATACAATACAAAATATTTATACATCATTTGTAATATCAGTTGAGTTAACTAATCTCATTTCTCCGTCAAATAGAATCTGTAGATGTTACTTCTATGAAAGCTTCACTCAGATGATAAGTGATTACCTATTGCCAAATATTTGAATTTTCCGTACATTTTTTTTTATTTATTAATATCACTTCTGTTAGCTCTTATAAATGTTAAAAACTAACTCTTTGGTTGTAGACTTGTTTTCCTCATGTGTTATTTGTATGTGCATTACTTAAAAACCATTCCATTTTATAGTTTGTTATGGTTTTATTTTTTCAGAATGTTTTTTCTGCTTTGTTTCAATACAAAAATAATTCCTAGATTTAGTTTTAAACTATTCAACATTTTGTTCCAATATCTGCTACTGTTGAACCTCATTTTACAAAATCTCATTTAAGGTAGACATTCAATTTCAAAATCTCTAGTAGTCTTTTATGAATAAGCCATTATATTCCTCTTACTGACACTACATTTACACGAGATCTGACATCAGAATTGTGACATCACCAAACAAAAACCTGATTTTTAACCTCCAATTATCTTAGACTGGTTTCAGGCAAATACAAGAAATGCAACTTCGAGTTAAGGCAGAATTCTAGCCCGTGATGATTGGATCTTGGCATTATTACCTACCAATGATACATTTCATTTTATTGAAAACTATTTGGCTGTGACCATTATAGTCACTAAATCCATTTAGTGCTTTGATTTGTCGTTAAACTTAGGCATTTCTAAAAGAAAGAAAATCAATTAAATTTCTTATTATTGTACATTAACATAATTGATATAAGTTAGTTAATAAACATATATGTACTAATATTATTGCTCAGTGTTCTCCATT